GTTACATTGTAAGTTTAACCCTGCCTGGTTTACATGTCTGAAAATGATTAACAGTTGAAAACATTAGAAATTTAGAAAAGTAATCAAAAAGTAATCAAATGTAATCAATTTTAATTACTTGAATAAAGTAATTGAAAAGTTACACTACTTATTACATTTAAAGTAGGGTAACTTGTAATCTGCAACCTATTACATTTCCAAAGTAACCTTCCCAACACTGCCTATCTGTAACTTACTGTATAATTATTGCTATAATACCGATCTGTCAAATGGGGTATTAGTTACTGTGCACTGTCACTGTGAAACAACAAATATAGATTTTTAATCATAGTAGTGCAGCCTTCCTGTAGAACACACACATGCATTTAGAGCGATTATATGAACGGTTTGGTTTGCACGGTCTGTGGCAGACTTTTCTTAGTGTCAGGGCAACAATTCAACAAACAAGAAGTTAATATTAAGTGAATTAAATTGTAGAGACAATATTGTCTATTTTACCCCATTTCCCTAACGAAAATGGTTCCAAACAAAGTTGTACGTTTCTGCAGCGACACACAGCGGCATTTCGTTGAATAAATGACTCTACAACTCATTAAGACAGTGGCTTGCTGCCACCTACTGGCAATTTTAGTTTAATATTTTAAAGGTATTATTCTATTTAATATTTCTATATTCCAAATTGTATATTTAAAACATTAATCTCATAACATTATTTATGCAATTTGTAAGTGCAGTATAAATGCATATACAAAAGCTCCTTAAAAATGTGTATAGAGCCTGCGTGTTTAATTATACTTGGCTCTTTCAAATACTAAAGCCACTTGGCCAATGTAACTTTTAAACATATTTGATTTGAAGTATATCCCGTGTATTCTGACACATGCATGGATGTCTCTGGGCCAAGCCCCGGATATCCACTCACCCTAGAGCCGCTCCTGGTCAAGAGTATTCTTTGTGGTTACTACACTGCTGCTAGAGTGTTCTGGTGGTTGCTAGGGTGTCCCGAGTAGTGGCTATGCAGTTGCTATGTGGTTGCTAGGGTGTTGTGCATAGTTGAAATGTTGCTAGGGTGTTCCAAAGAGTTGCTCTGTGGTTGCTAGGGTGTTGTGGATAATTGGCGTGTTGTTGCTAGGGTGTTTTGAGTAGTTGCTCTGTGGTTGCTAGGGTGTTGTGTATAGTTGATATGTTGCTAGGGTGTTCCGAGGAGTTGCTCTGTGGTTGCTAGGGTGTTGTGTATAGTTGACATTTTGCAAGGTTGTTCTGAGCAGTTGCTCTGTGGTTGCTAGGGTGTTTGGCATGTTGTTACTAGGGTGTTCCGAGTAGTTGCTCTGTGGTTGCTAGGGTGTTGTGTATAGTTGATATGTTGCTAGGGTGTTCTGAGTAGTTGCTCTGTGGTTGCTAGGGTGTTTTGGATGATTGACATGTTGTTGCTAGCATGTTCTGAGCAGTTGCTCTGTGGTTGCTAGGGTGTTGTGGATGTTTGGCATGTTGTTGATAGGGTGTTCTGAATAGTTTCTCTGTGGTTGCTAGGGTGTTGTGAGTAGTTGATCTGTGGTTACTAGGGTATTGTGGATGATTGGTATGCTGTTTCTAGGGTGTTCCGAGTGGTTTCTAGGGTGTTGTGGATCATTGACATGTTGTTGCTAGCGTGTTCTGAGCAGTTGCTCTGTGGTTGTTAGGGTGTTGTGGATGTTTGGCATGTTGTTGATAGGGTGTTCTGAATAGTTTCTCTGTGGTTGCTAGGGTGTTGTGTATAGTTGATATGTTGCTAGGGTGTTGTGAGTAGTTGCTCTGTGGTTACTAGGGTATTGTGGATGATTGGTATGCTGTTTCTAGGGTGTTCCGAGTGGTTTCTAGGGTGTTGTGGATGACTGGTGGTTGTTGCTAGGGTGTTCAGAGTAGTTGTTCTATGTTTGCTAGGGTGTTGTGGATGTTTGGCATGTTGTTGCTAGGGAGTTTTGAATAGTTGCACTGTGGTTGCTAGGGTGTTGTGTATAGTTGATATGTTGCTAGGGTGTTCTGAGTAGTTGTTCTGTGGTTGCTAGGGTATTGTGGATGATTGGCATGTTGTTTCTAGTGTGTTCTGAGTGGTTGCTAGGGTGTTGTGGATGACTGGCGTGTTGTTGCTAGGGTGCTCCGAGTAGTTGCGCTGTGGTTGCTAGGGTGTTATGTATAGTTGATATGTTGCTAAGATGTTTTGAGTAGTTGCTCTGTGGTTGCTAGGGTGTTTTGGATGATTGGCATGTTGTTTCTAGTGTGTTCTGAGTGGTTGCTAGGGTGTTGTGGATGCTTGGCGTGTTGTTGCTAGAGTGTTCTGAATGGTTGCTCTGTAGTTGCTAGGGTGTTGTGTACAGTTGAGATGTTGCTAGGGTGTTTTGAGTAGTTGTTCTGTGGTTGCTAGGGTGTTTGGCATGTTGTTGCTAGGGTGTTCCGACTGAGTAGTTGCTCTGTGGTTGCTAGGGTGTTGTGGATGTTTGGTATGTTGTTGCTAGGGTGTTCCGAGTAGTTGCTCTGTGGTTGCTAGGGTGTTGTGTATAGTTGATATGTTGCTAGGGTGTTCTGAGTAGTTGTTCTGTGGTTGCTAGGGTATTGTGGATGATTGGCATGTTGTTTCTAGTGTGTTCTGAGTGGTTGCTAGGGTGTTGTGGATGACTGGCGTGTTGTTGCTAGGGTGCTCCGAGTAGTTGCGCTGTGGTTGCTAGGGTGTTATGTATAGTTGATATGTTGCTAAGATGTTTTGAGTAGTTGCTCTGTGGTTGCTAGGGTGTTTTGGATGATTGGCATGTTGTTTCTAGTGTGTTCTGAGTGGTTGCTAGGGTGTTGTGGATGACTGGCGTGTTGTTGCTAGGGTGCTCCGAGTAGTTGCGCTGTGGTTGCTAGGGTGTTATGTATAGTTGATATGTTGCTAAGATGTTTTGAGTAGTTGCTCTGTGGTTGCTAGGGTGTTTTGGATGATTGGCATGTTGTTTCTAGTGTGTTCTGAGTGGTTGCTAGGGTGTTGTGGATGCTTGGCGTGTTGTTGCTAGAGTGTTCTGAATGGTTGCTCTGTAGTTGCTAGGGTGTTGTGTACAGTTGAGATGTTGCTAGGGTGTTTTGAGTAGTTGTTCTGTGGTTGCTAGGGTGTTTGGCATGTTGTTGCTAGGGTGTTCCGTCTGAGCAGTTGCTCTGTGGTTGCTAGGGTGTTTGGCATGTTGTTACTAGGGTGTTCCGAGTAGTTGCTCTGTGGTTGCTAGGGTGTTGTGGATGACTGGCATGTTGTTGCTAGGGTGTTCTGATACACATGCTGAACTGAATCTTTACTGCTCAAAGTTTCAGCACATGACTAGCAGCTCTAGTACTAGTGATGAGTGACTTAAAGAACAGCACTAACTGAACATAGATGAATATGAGGGTAGTGTTCTTTATCAGCTGAAGTGTGTGAAAGAACAGCACTCTAACAGACCACAGTGAGCTTGAGTAGTTTGGGTTGAGTCCCCAGATGCTGAGAGCTGTTCCCCGCGGAGCTGAACTGCACTCTCAAGTCCACTGGCATTTCGCCGTGACGCAGGAGCGCAGCTGTAATTCCCGAGCGCCCACTTTCTCATTCACGCCAGCGCCATCATGTGACTCACAATATTCAACAGTGCAATTACCTTCTCTTGGCTTGAGAGAAACAAAACAAAAACCCACACAAAGCTTTGAGTGGCACATTCATACCATCATGAGGAATGAAATAACAGCCCTGCAAACAATTACTCCCGTCGCACCGAGAGCATTCGGCATTTACATCCAGCCCTCTCCGACATGAGAGCAGACGCAGTGCATTATGGGTCGCACTCTAAATGCCACTGACTAAATGCATGACACACATGAGCTTTGACTCAAACAAAGGGACGAAAATGAGCGGTGAGGGGAAGCATATGGAGAGGGTGATAGATGAGAAGAATAGATCACCATCATCATCAAAACCTTCATAATCATAATCACTTCACTATCATTACAGGAATACTTCATGAATGAAAATGAAAATTCTGTAATCATTCATATGGTGTATCTTTATTTCTGCCTTCTGCCTGGCAAACATATAGCAACCACTCAGAACACCCTAGCAACTGCATAGCAACCACTTAGAACACCTTAGCAACTATAGCATGCAACAAGAACACTCTAGCAATACCAACTACTCAGAACGCCCTAGCAATTGCATAGCAACCACTCAGAACACCTTAGCCTGTTTTATCATTAAATGCGATTGACGTAATGAGTCTTGACGATGTCCAGCAGTTCAGGTCGGGTTTCATTATCTTATATTAATAGAGATCCTGTAAACAAAGGAAATTTTGTTTTATCTGTAATAAGCTGAATATGTCTGCTGTGTCCAAACAGACTCATTTCCTGAAAGAAAGAGCCTAATGCTAATGACCAAATTATAGATAGGTTAGTCATTTGTTTTATTCTGCTACTGTGTAAAGTTTTGCACATAAATAGACCAAATGGAAACAGGCCTTTTAGGGAAAATAATTGGAAACTATTTTGATATTGATGATGATAATTTAAATTTACTCATAAAAAGACATTAGGCAAGAAAACAAGACATTTTACTTATTTTCCCTAAACTACTGTCATTAAAGCTGTAGTATGTGTCGTTTGGGGTGTCAGTTTCATGTTCAGAGTCAGTCAATGGTAGTTTGATGCTATCAGAACATTGATCTGTTTGTTTCAGATGCCCAGTATCTCAACTTCTGACTCGACCAATCATGTGAGTTTGGGGCGGGACTGAAATGTTTGACTGACCAATGACAGGTGGAGGGGGAGTGTTCAGGAAACCCAACAGTTATTAATTTTCAGCTCTGTTTGGTGCTGCTAGTAGTGCACACATGATTTTCATTCAGGAAAGTAAAGAACAGACACTGTAATGTTTAGTTCTTTTATTTTATTAGAAACGAGACACCTTCGCCTATTGTTCTTAAAACTGTACAATCACAAGGGGAAGTGAAATACACAGAGACTCTGGTGCTGGAGATTCAGACAGACATCGGGAACCTCAAATGAACGTAGAGACGCGAGGAAGGATATCGGCATACACACAGAGACAAACAGGTTCATAAAACAAGAGACCGTACAGACGACCGAGGGTTCAGTGTCTCAACAATATGGAGGAATCAAGTAAAAAACTCTAGGGCATTTTCCTGAAGCACAGTCAGATATATCTCTAGGCTATTACTATATCATATTTTTCTTTCCTGAACATTCTTTTAGCAGCAAGACACAACGTCTTGTTTTGTCCTTCTCGTTTAATAGCTAATATAGTCCGTGAACAGTGTTGTCATAAAGGTTTCTAAATGCTCTATAAAGATGATATAAAACTCTGAAAATGGTTAACAAAATCTTGCCAAGATTCTAATGTCAGTCCTGCTTGGGCATCAAGCATCTGTCCTCATATTGCACTGATGCCAGTCTATTGTTTGGCATAAATACTGCACTGCGAATATCTCCCGCCGGCACTGCGGAAGTTCACAGGTGGGCAGGAGCCCATAACGTGTGCTGGGGCTTCGTTCAAAAGGCCGTAGAAAGAGCCGCTGGTGGGAATGGAGGGAACACAGTGGTCTGATCCAATGGAGTGGAGGAGGAAACAACAGCTCGTCCTCAAAGAGTCCAAGGCTACACAGTCACTGCTGCTCCAACTACATTACCCAGAATGCTGAGAGTATCAGCTGCTCATGCTGGGATAGTTCGTCCTGCTGCTGTTTCGGGAATGAACAGACGGTTTCATACAGTACTTAAAAATAAACCTCGATGAACACAGGTATGAAGACAAGAGGAGAAACATGATCATCAAAATCATAACATGATCATAAGAACAAAGAAATAACATTCATAATAATAACTTGTTACAATAACAACAGAGGAATCATTGAAAGTAAATGCTCAGCTCTTTATAGTCAAGTTTTCAGTACAATTATTTCCCCAAAGTTTGATGGAAGCGTCCAGAAATGCTTCACGCAAAGCGCTAAAAACAAAGACCACAGCGACGGCAGTTCATCTGTGTCCATTTGGCACAGCTAGCAACCCCTAGAGGCTCAAGGGAGACGTCGTCCTCTTGACCGAAGAGAACGCTCTGGAAGGGGCCGCAAAGGGCCAATCTCGAGCAGCCAAGAAAGCGTTCGACCCTCCTGTGGGAAGATTCTCCCATTCCAAAACGGAATTGCGGAAAAATGAAAGGGCACAGGCGGGCGTCCACACCACCTCCTGGACCAGATGGAAGCGTGTTGGGAAGAGCTCTCGATGAACCAACCAGGAATCTCTCCTCGCATGGAGTTCGGAAAACCTTTCTCCCTGTTCAGACACCTTCTAATGACTGAGGTCAGTGTCATCTTGAGCTGAGAGCTACTTCTGAAGCCGGAGAGACACATATTCAAATGACAGACGGGTACAGCGCTCCCCTCTCGGGTTCTTCTCTACCTTCTGCCCTCTGCATGCTCATCCCTTCATTTCCGCTCTCTTTCCCAAATCAAAAGCAGACCGAGGTGTTCAGGGTTAAACGCTGTGCCCTCACACCTCTGTCTGCAGGTCGATGATATCTTGGCCCACCAGAGGGATGGTCGCTCCGGCCTTCTCCCATTCCACGCCCTGGAGATCCGGAGGAGACGCCTGCAGCGGCTCCATGTCCTTCCGGACCCAGGCAGGAGGAGACACCTGTGACCTGCTCATGCTCTCCCAGGACCGATCCATTGCTCCCTGCTGCTTATCCTGGAAAGACACATCGGGAACAGAGTTAGAGACCCTGCAGTTGGGAATGAGAAAACGTCCTTCACATGCAGTCGAAAGATCGAGACACTTACGCTGTGGTTTGTCTTGTCGCTTCCAGCGGAGGAAACGCTCCATCTGACGGACTGTAGAGAGAAGAGAGCATTACTCTAAAGACCGAACAACGAGAGTAAGCGGGGATGATAAATTATGGCTGCTCTGATCAGTTCCACACATGAGCGTCTAGTTTGGCGGCTCACCTTGCTGTCGGATGCCGGTGACTCCCTGTCCTTCTCAGCGTGATGCATCTTCCTATTGTGGTCCTGGAACATGTTCTGATGGCGTTTCCGTGTGTGCATGATTTTCTACATGATAGAGAAGGGAACGGTTAACGCTGCACTGTTATTGATTTAAATTCATGTATCTCTACAGTGGAAAACTGTAATTACCTCAAAATCCAGTTCTGCGTAACGAGATTTCTGCCTCTGTGAGAGTTAAACAGAAAGAGCGACAGCAAACTTTAGTATCACATACATTGCGTAATTCATCAGATGCAGCGTTCAACAAAGAGTAAATGTCGTTTCTTACCCCCTCGCTGACTTCCAAAGAACTCATGGACAAGGTGGAGATGGTTTCGCTCTTGGACATCATGGAGTTCATGGAGTCGAAGGTGTCGCCCAGACTGCTGGTCATGTGACTCTCGCTGGAGATGTTGTGGATGTTCTGAATGGGCGAGTCTCGCTCTGAATACGATACACTGACGCGGTCGGCGGGGAGAGTCTTGACGGCGTAGGCAGCTTGTGGTTCGGCGAAGGTTCCGCTCAGATGCATGAGACGGGCCTGCGGGAGCTCGGTGCTGATGTTGTATTTGCTGGAGCGGCTGGAGTCATCCTTGGGTTTGGCACGAAGGGTGGAGGTGGTGTTGGGCAGGAGCACATAACCGCTGCCATCCGAACAGACGCTCTCGGCCTGAGCGAGGGCCAGATCGACATCCAGCTGCTTGAAGAGCTCACTGTCACACACGTACACAGGTTTGCCACAGGACAGGTCGACTCCGTGACCTTTCTCTCTCCGCAGGGTGAGCGTGTGGCTGGAGTACTCGGGGACGGGGGGAATGTGGCTCTTTCTGCTGGGGTTGGATGGAAGGGTGTGGAAGTTTGGGCCGAGGGGCAGGGGCATCTGTGGAGGGGGCATCTTCTCCTCGGAGGAGCTCTTCATTCCACCTGAAGGGAGGCAAAGAGGCAGGTCAGATCATGAGGCATGGATAAGCCTTGGATAAGCCCCTCTAGTTTCTTATTACTAAACATAAGAACACGTCAAATTTAATGCCTAATGGCAGGGGTGTCCAATCCTGCTCCTGGAGGGCCAATGTCCTGCATAGTTTAGCTTCTAGTTTCTAGTAATCCTGAAAACCTTGATTAGCTGATTCAGCTGTATTTAATTATGGTTGTAGCTAAACTCTCCAGGAACAGGTTTGGACACCTCCGCTCTATGGTAATATGAATGCGGCGATCTTTTGTTTATATGCTCACCTGGTCGGTTTGAGTCGGCGTCCTTCTCAAAGTCAGACTGCACACAGGAAAAAATAAATTTGATTTATAAATGCCGTTGTTAAAATGTAAAATGCATGAGAATACTTGCATTTAGACTCACCACGAGCTGCGTGTGGCCGTTCTGCAGGGAGCTGCCAGAATCGCCATTCCCGTCATCTTTGCGGTCCACCACACGGCATTTCACCGCATCTTGAACCTGAAAAACACACATTTATGAGCTCTAGCACACTCAAAGACACGTTAAACGCACACGTGCTTCGATTGTGAATGTACTGACCTCTCTGCGCAGGATGCAGTGCACCATGACAATGATGAATCCCTCCAGAGAATCGAAGACAGCGAAGAGGATCTGGAACAGTGCGGAGCGGCGGTCCGTGATGGCCAACACGGCAGACATCCACGTCAGCGCGAGAAGAGGGAGAACCACACAGGAGCTCCACAGCGACGCCCTGCAGGACAGTGCATTTAATACAACTTGCTCCACACTCTTCAATGTGACTGGCGTTTAATTGGGTGTGTACAGTATTTCTTACCCAGCCCTCTCTTTCAGCTTAACATCTGTGATGCCGTCCTTGGACACAAGCTTGTTGAAAACCAGAATTCCAATCACCATGTTGACCTGAAAACACACAAAGAGACGTCAGTGAAGGCTCAACACTGCACATGCTGTCGATCATGCAGTGTCCAAGAGCGGCTCCTCACCAGAACGACAGCAGCAGCCGGACCCACAAATGAGTACAAGAGTCCGCCTTCAAGAGACAACCAACAGCTGCGCAGAAAGAAGAAGAAACACCAGTGTTAAACTCACAAAGACACAGATGGAAAGAGAAAGATGGGAAACAAGATGGGAAATACTCACTAGTTGACGGTGCCGTAACCTTTGGCTTTGGTGAAGCCGACCGAAATGGCGACGACTAAAGCGGGCAGACCTGAGAGAGAATCCAGAGAGAGTTAAACATCCCATCACACAAGTCAAGCGACACTCTCCAGAATTAACAACCAGTGTTGGGGAAAGAAGTAATGTATTACAATATTGCGTTCCTCCCTAAAAAAGTAACTAATTATGTTACTTAGTTACTTTTTAAATCTGGGCGGGGCTTGCTTGTTTGTTTTTAATATTAAAAGTTCTTCTTTTACAAATGTAAAAGCCCTTTCATCCAAAGGTGAAATGAATGCGCCTCAGGCTGAAGGAAATGTAAATTCACATCTGTACAATAGAGGGCTCAGCTCAAACTAATCACATGAAGAATAAGACGCAGGAGAAGAAATTTCAACGCTATTCAGCAATAACACAAATAAAACACAAATGTGTCTCTTTTGCTTATTAGTATGGTTGAATTGGATCATCGAAGGTCAGTAGCAAAGACATTAGTTAATAAAATGGGATTAAATACATAAATTATATTTGTCTTATTTAACATATTTAATTATTACAGGTCTGTATATGCTGAGTTTGCATTTGACTGTTTTTATTGATTTTGAGGAACGCTGAATCTGTTTTTGAGTAAACACATGTTGATATTTAGTCTAGAACTACAGTAAGATCATGTTCACACACAACGCTCTGCACTTACTCCTGATTTCTGTCACCACGGCAACACCAGAACTCTCACTCAATACATGGAAACAAAGTAACTTATTTGAAAAGTAACTCAGATATTTCCTTCTAAAATAAAATGTGTTACTTTACTAGTTACTTAAAAAAGTAACCGGATTAAGTAACTCGCGTTACTTATAATGCGTTACCCCCAACACTGTCAACAGCAGCGCGCACACTCACCCCATCCCAGACACAAGAAGCGTTTGCGGATGATGCGGTTACGCAGGCGGCCCGTGACGGCCATATAGGACTGCCACGCCTCTGTCAGAACCCAACAGAACGAGGACAGGAAGAAGAAATGCAGGAACGCTGCCACCAAGGCACACATAACCTGCGAGAGACAGACGGAACGAGAGGTGAGCCGTTGGTCATCGGAGCTGATGTGTGCTGCAAACGGTCAGCTTCAGGCTCGGGTTTATACCTTGTTGCGTGCTTGTGTCTGACTGATCAGAATGAGGGCGTTGGAGCAGATGATTGACAGACAGAAGTTGATCAGGATCACTGAGCGCTCAGAACGGATGTACCTGAGAAGAAGAGAGAAAAAAAACAATTAATAAAATTCAATCACCAAACCAGGGGTTTTCAGATTGGGGTCTGAGAAAAAGTTTAGAGATATATATCCATATTTAAATATTTTAGTATGGAAATAGATAGAAATAAAACCAAATTATTCTAACAAAATAGATACAATACAGAATTTGACACAATTGTAGTATTATTCTGGTCTTTAATGATGAGATTAATGGCTTTTTAGTTCATAATATTTTATGTTTTGGTCACACTTTATTTTAAGGTCAAATTCAAATGCTTTATAAGTACTAATAATCAGCCAATATGCTAGCAATATGCAGCTAGTTAATACTGTAAACGTTCTTAAAGTGCAACCAAAATACACATACTTCTAGACTTATTTTAACGTATAAATGTAAAAATACACAGTTAGGTAGTGAACATCTCATTTATGGGTTCATGACGTCAAAACATTTGCAATGCAACCTTTTTGATGCAACCAATTAATAAACCACACATCAATTAAATTAATCATATCAATCAAGCAGTAAATCAAGCATTATGATAAGTTTCTTACTTCCACACAGAGACGTAGATGATGAGGAGGAGGAGGAGGGTGAGGGACGACACTCCGCATCCCACAATCATCGTAACCGACGGCAACAGAGACTTATCCATGTTCTGTGAAGAAACACGGTAGCATTAGTGTCAATGCACACACACACACACACACAGCTCCCTCTGGATGGAATGACTGGAAGAAACAGGGCAGCTGATGTGAAGGAGACGAGAAGGTGAGAGAGACGCTCCACATTCCTTCACTGCTGCTCCACTTTAGCACAGTTAAACGACGACAGGTGTGTGTGTGTGTGTGTGTGTCCTGCAGGTCGACAATTTTCACCTCTGAAATTATTAGTGTAACACACTTCACACACCACATTGTGAGTGTGTTATATTATGCGCTGCTTTCCACCTTCATTTGCCCTTGCAGAATGAAACGCACCATCATATTTCCTCTCAAAAGACACACACACACACACACACACACACACACACACACACACTGAAGGCATGTAACAGGTCTTTTAAACCCGCTTGCACTGCGCGACGCGACACATCCAAACAGCGTATGTGATTATAAACGGAGGCGTTGTGTTTGGACGCGTCGCGTTGCAGTGCAGGGCTGTTTTTCCCCTCTGATGCTGATAATTACAGCGCGGGGCTGCGGATGCGGTTGTCTTGGCAACTGCTTCTGCACCAAAAAGATCAAAAACAACGATCACACGAACGCATTAAAGCACCGAACAAATACGTGCATGAAAAGAATCGGATCCATCATCGATCATCAGATTCACAACACCGCATCATCTCTATTAGCTATCAATCAATCCGTCGATAGATAAAGATTGAACTCACGCTAAAAGACGATCAGATCCGATCACCCGATGATCGATGATGAACGAGGCTGTGATAAACACTCTTCGGTTAACGGCAGCATCGCTTCATTTACACACACACACACACACACACACACACACACACACACACACACACACAGACAGAGAGAGAGAGACAGTCCGGTGATGATCGGACTCTTACCGGATCGGGGTTCGGTCTTGCGATCACGGCGAAGGTGGACAGTCCGTCACACACGCATGCGGTGCTGGAGTCGCGCGCCACCGATCTGCAGCCGCGCGCGGACCAGGAGCCGAGCAGAGACGCGCTACACACACATAAGAGTTAGATACACTGTCAAATAAACCCCGCACACACACACTCAGCTCATCCAGACTCACAGACACGCACACACACGCACACACTCCAGACCACAGTACAGTGATGCTCTCAGTTGTTGTGTTTTTCACATGCAACTGCACGTATTTCTATCATGGTATCTTGTCCAAATGCTTCTTTGATTTTATAATAAAAATAAAGGTTCTTTGTATTGGAAAAAGGTTCTTCTGTTTATTAAAATCAGACTAAAGAAAAGATGCTTCTTTTAAGAACTGAAAGGTTCTTTCATTAAATAACTGCACAAAAAAAGAAATCTTAGTCTGAAAGACAGTAAATTATTCCTCATGCATAAATCATGCATAATGTCATTTTGATTATTTTTAGTGGCATTACTGGCCTTTTATTTATTTACTTTCCTTTCTGTCAGATTTTGTGTATTATTTGTGTTAGTATAGTTAGTATTACTATTAGTATTAGTAGAGTGTGTGAGTTCCCTGAGTAGGGAACGAGACACTGCGTCCTCTAGGGGTCGCTATGGGGAAACCTAGAGGACGCAGTTCGAAGTTCCCATGAAAGGGAACATTAAGGGAATGTTCAATTTTATCATTCTGCAAACCTTATGTAAACTTTACTTTTAAATGTTCTCTGAAACAAGTAGCATATAAGAGTGTTTAAAAAAAATATAATATAAAAAATAATAAAATATTTCAGAAAAATGTTCCATGAACAATGTATAAACATTTCTGAGAACAATATTAAAGACTGAACTACCTTCGAACAAACTCTAATAATGTTACTGGAAGAACGTTTGTTCATAATTTTGAGAAAATCTTGCCAGAACATTCTGAGAAAATTCCCTGTAAATACACTAATAGAATATTGTTTGAATGAACATTTGTAAAATATCCAAATATTAATTTTTGATACTAATAGATGGATGGAGTTCAGAGATCTGAATGCTTTGATTTAAAAAAAGAGAACAGGGTTCCCATCTTTGTTCAGAAATGTGTGTGTGTGTGTGTGTGTGTGTGTGTGTGTGAGTGTGTGTGGGCAGTGGATGCTGAAAAGAGCCATTGAAGGTTTTGAATGTTCTGTGAATATTCATGAGGTCATAAGTGATGTGTGTGTAAGGGGGCAGAGACTCATTTGCATATGATTAGTGGTTGTCAGGGAGGTGTGGAGATGACACACTGTACCGAGGGCAGGAGAGAGTGTGTGACCTTTAGAGCTGCGATAACACATACACACACACACACACACACACACACACACACAGAATCACAAGTGTTCCACCCACCTCTCGCTCTCGTCCCAGGCGATGCAGGTCTCGTTCACAGTGCCCTGCAGATAGAGAGAGAGAGAGAGAGAGACGGGCGTGAAAGGTCTGGTTAGGGGGAGTTTGATCTGTGTCATATGTCACTTCCTACATAGTCTTTAACTGCACACACACACACACACACACACACACACACACACACACACACACACACACACACACACACACACGCTACATCATCTGAAAGCTGAATAAATAAGCTTTCCATTGATGTATGGTTTGTTAGGAAAGGACAATATTTGAAAATCTGGAATCTGAGGGTGCACAAATATATAAATATTGAGAAAATCATCTTTAAAGTTGTTCAAATGAAGCTCTTAGCAATGCATATTACTAATCAAAAATTAAGTTTTGATATATGTACGGTAGGAAATTTACAAAATATCTTCATGGAACATGATCTTTACTTAATATCCTAATGATTTTTGACATAAAAGAAAAATCAATACTTTTGACCCATACAATATATTGTTGGCTATTGCTACAAATATCCCCCAGCGACTTAACACTGCTTTTGTGCTGCAGGGTCACAAGTTTGAGTTTCATCAGGACATTCATATGAAGTTTGTCAGCAGAATGCAAGCAATGTTTGAGCTCTTGTACCTCTGGAAGGACAGGATGGGAGCCAGATTTCTGTAGAGAACGATCCCGGTGACAAACCCAGTGCTCTGCTCAGCATCTACACACACATTCAGAGCCGCATTAGTCTCAATACTCAGGAAACACACGTCCGAAAGTGTGTGAGTGTATGTGTCTGTGTGTGTGTGTGAGTGTGAGTGTCTGTGTGTGTGTGTGTGTGTGTGTGTGCGTGTGCATCTGTGTGTGTGTGCATCTGTGTGTGTGAGTGTGTGTGTGTGTGTGAGTGTGTGTGTGTACCTGGCACGTCTAGACTCAGAGCGCTGCGGGACACTGTGACTTTCTCTTCTGAGTTGCGCACCCAGTCGATCATCCCTCGCCAGCCCTTCAGGGGGAAGGTCACGTCAGAGGTCATGGTACGCGGACGCTTCTGGACGCTGAGCTCTGAAGAGACGGTCAGAAACCAGAGTCAGAAACACACGCTCACACATCCACCTGCTGCCTCGTACTCCTGACCCCTTTCACACTCACCAAGATTGTCGGTGACCTCATAGATGTCCTGGAAATCTCTCATCTGACGTCCGATCATGTCAATGAAGCTCTCGATCAGACTGAAGAATTCCTTGATGTTTGCGCCCATCTGCAGCAGAGCAAAACAGCACTGATATAGATAGACATACATATACTGATATAGATGTAAATATTAAAATAAACAAACAAAAACTAATTAAACTGACAATAGCACATACAGTTACTACAATCTCTAATTAAAACAGAAACTGAAAATATAAAAAAGCTAATTGAAATTATTCATAAATACTATAATAGTGTATAAATAGTACTAAAACAACATGTTCTAAAAACACGCAGAGAATCTCTCAGTTCTTCCTCTGAATGGTCTGATGACTGATTCGTTAGCTGACGTGTGTGTGTCGGCGGTGTCTGCTGTTGCAGATTGCCATGTGGGTGCGCTCGAATTCTCTGCTTCTTTATTTCTCTTTTTTGGTATGAAGTAAGTTACTGATGGTGTGAGCGTAATTCTGTGGGTCAAACAAATCAATGTTATTAGATCAGTGTTTCTCTCACATACACTTATTTTCCATCATCGTTGCGCGCTGTGGTTTTGCGTACCTCCACATCTGCATTGCTCAGGCTCATCTTTGAGCCTCTGAAGATCTCCGTGCTGTTCCTCAGGACCTCCATCACAGCCAGCAGGTCGCCGCTGTACTTCATATTGTCAGTCGACACCATCCTCACTTTAGACAGCACCTCAGACACACCGTCCACCAGCTGACCGCTCTGAGACCGAGTCACGTGACCATGCATCTGGAAGGAGAAGGACGCTTGAGAATCCAGTCCTCAAGCCTTTATGCCAACATGAAGTATGAGAAGATGGAGCTTACCAGGGTCTGGATGTCCTGGAATTCCTTGGAGATACATTTGATGTGAGTGGGGTTCTCCCAGAAAGCCAGACCTACGGCGTCCAGAGTGCATCTGCGCAGGATCAGGCCTGCAGGAGTCAGGGAGAGCAGGGTTAATGCAATCTGGAGGGAAGCACTGTCTCTTTCATTAACTCTTTCCCTGCCAAACTCTGAATTTTCAGAGTTTCTGTGTTCTCACTGTTATACACTCGGGGGTGCTGCATCTCCTGAATCCTGAGTCATCAATGAATTGACTTTAGCTGGAAAAATGCCTCTTTGTTCTTGTCCTCTTGCATTACTGACAAACTATTTTCCTGTTGACACTGTAAAGCTGCTTTGACACAATCTGTATTGTATAATGCGCTATACAAATAAAGGTGACTTGACTGAATGAGTCTAGAATCACTCGATCAAAAACACAAACCAGGAAGACGCAGAAACCAGCGATCTCATATGTATGCATATGCATATGAAAAATAATGTGATCATCAACACTAAACTGCATATAAATGAAAACTGCCTAATGTTAGAGAGTGGTAGAGTGGTAAAGGCCTGTGAAGCTTTGGGAGTACTGATGGAAGCCATTTACTGCAGCTTTGCTTTGATAATATTACTGAATATGATCCAGATGTAGTATTTGATAAAAAAAATTGATTTTCTTTCTTTGTTGCTTTTTTTTAATGAAACCTACCTACATTCAAGTGTTGATAAAAGAGAATGCTTGAAGCTAGAATAAACTTTTTTTTTTTAAGTAGATGGTATGTTCTTTATTTTGGTGTACTGCATGTTCAGATATTCATACAACAAAATATTCTGGGAGCCATGAAATTTGAGTGAAAATCATCAAAAATGCTGGCAACTTTTTTTCAAAAACGCTGGTGGGGAAAGAGTTAAAATCAGGCCGTGACCCACATTCGACACAGAAAGCAGAGCACCGGATGACTGAGATCTCAGATCAGTACCTGTGGCATCAGAAGGGCAGGTCACAGCAGCCGTGTCGCCCGCGGGCGTTTTCTTCCACACCACACTGCCGTAGTTCTCCTCCCCGCAGATCTCGTGAGGTTCTGTCAGACACATTTTTATAAGCCCTTAAAGAAGCTGCCTCAAAACTGGTGCAGTAATTAAGTAAAACATTTGGTTTGAGCTCTCACCTGGGCACCGCTTCTCGTTGCAGTTTCTCAGTTCTGATTTATCTCCGATGCATGGCTCTCCACCAAAGAAAGGTCCTTCACACACTCTCTGTCTGAGCTGATGGCCTCCACCGCAGGATTTGCTGCAACTGCCCCATGAGCTCCACAACAGCCATCTCCCGTCCACTAGAGGGCGACAACACACTTGAGTATCTTTCATAAAAAACACTTGTGCAGAACCATTTAGGGAGCATATTCATGCATTAGCAAGCATTTGAAGAGGAATAATGTACCTGGGCAGTCTCTGAGGAAGCAGTTGCTGGTTTCTTGCCATTCTCCTCTGCACTCCGAGCCTCCGTACGAGGGCACCTAGACGGCCATCGGGAGACCACGGGAACCAGATGAGTCCTCTGCACAATCTGACTTTGTTGCAGCCTAGAAATAAACTGCTGGTCTTGTCTGGCCAGAGGAGAATGGAACACTATTTCGACACACTATTTCCCTGTTTAATACTGTAAAGCTGCTTTGGCACAATCTGCATTGTAAAAAGTGCTATATAAATAATGGTGACTTGACTTACTCATGATCTCGGCGTCGCGGTTGCTGTCTCTAACGGTAGGCGAGCACTTCTCGGTGTAGACTCCGCCCCTGTAGCAGCCACCGGTCCTCCTTTTGGGAGGCTCCCAGCACTGGCAGGGGGTCATCATGATGCCGCAGGGGTTTCTATGGGTGCTGGTGGCCAGGCAGTCTTCCAGCCATTGACACAGCATCTCGCAGGCTGGCATGCTTGGGTTCCTCTTCCCCACGACCAGAAACTCGGCGTTGAACTGGCTGCCTTCATCGTTGCCTTCGTCTTCCTCCATGGGTTCCGCACCCAGACGTGGCATTACCTTCCGCACCTGCAGGAACTGTTTGCTGGACTCCAGGTAGGCCACCGCGGAGGAAGCGTCACACAGTCGGACCACCTCGTCGAAGCTCTCCATGCCCAGGTATGTGCGAGAGGTCTCCAGGAACGAGTCGAACTGGAAGGTCTGGATCTGTCGTGGGGTGCAGGACTCGGTAGGCTTGGTGATCTTCATGAAGACGGTGTAGCGGCGAGGATCGGGGTTCTGCAGGGTCCAGGAGCACGGCGCTGACGACAGGGCGGTCTTAGAGGAGAACACACCGAAGAAGCGGCTTTGCTCCAGGGTGGCACAGGTGGCAGATGCTGGCCCGGAGGGAGTGGAGATGCCCGGGGCGAACATCACGCACATGCAAACGCACAGCGCCAATGAGACGAACCGCCGCTCCATGTTCTCGCTTCAGGAGGACAGGTGGACCCTTTGATAGGAGTTAACTGGGCTTCTTTGATCTGGCAGGGGTTTGATGTGTTCACTTCGATAAATGCGGATGGAGGGTTTGATTCTTCACTAGATTGAAGGGGACATATCTGTGGGAAAACAAGAAACAGAAGGGACTCAGAGTTAGCACGTGTCAATCATAGCACGACAGTCATTGTAATTATCATACTTGAACAGGTCTGCCATCTAAATCATATCTATAGTCGAGAGCTGTACCCTCCATTAGCATTAGTTTGCATTCGAATGAGCCCTGTCAGAGTACTGCCGCTAATGCATGCGCTGCCATTACACTCAGACTATAATTACAGCGCCCTTCACAGGAATCTCTCTCCGCATCGCTCTCTCGTTCTCTCCTGCCCACGCTTTCACACGTGGCAGAGCCGATTGCGTCAAACTGACGTCCACGAAGACTCAGCTCTCACCCACGAAAGTTCAGCGCTGGAAAGATTCTCACAGCGAAAAAGCAGGATATTTCTGCAGGAACACATGCCCCCTCCGTGACAGAATGCAGCGATTGTGGAACTTTCAAAGTCTGAGTGTTGCCATAGCTACAGGTGCTCGAGAAACGTGTGGAGCATCTTTGTGCATTATAAGCTGCACCCCTCTCTTTCCAAGCACAGTCCCTCGCTCTATTATAGAACTTGCCTTGTTTTCTGGCTCCTCGCTCTCTTTCGCTCAAAGACGCTCATTCAGGAGCAAGATGAAAGAGAGAGAGAGAGCAGCTGTGAGAGGTCCTTTTCAGAGAACCAATGTCCCCTTATCTTCATCATCACCTTCCTCTTTCTGAACTAATAGTGTGAGACTGAAAAACTAAAGCTCAACAGTTGCATAAAATAAGATAAATTGTTGCTCTGCTCTGTTGGCTGTCTTCAGTTACATCACTAATGCAGCTCATGTCTAATTTTCTGCACTCCATTGAGTTTGAAAAACCGGGAATGATCAGCTCTACAGAAAATGAGAGTACTTCAGCTCTGCCACTCAACCTCTTTTTATACCCCCAAATAGGGGGCTGAAATTACACATTACATCTGTAGTTATGGAAACAGCTGATTTTCGAAAGAGCTGAAGTACAGTCAGCAGGAAGTGTGTGAGAAAGAGACAGACAGACCGAGACGGAGAGAGAGACAGTTGCACAGAGTTTATGTGAATCCGTGCAAGTGAAGCCAGCACGCTCATTAACCCCTGATGTCCTCTGGCTGGTCTGATCCTGGGATGAATGTTAGATTGCATCTGATCTAAACAAACACAGACACTTTGTTTTTAATCCTGGGAAAGTCTGAGACACACTCGTCTCTGCCAAACACACGCAGAGCCATCTGTGAGCTCAGATCTGCTGCTGAGACATCTCAATGTGTGTCTAGTGCTGTCAGAACAATAACACAAACACCCCATCGCTGTGTGCATGACCAAACACACACTCTTTGACAAACAACACTCATTAATGTCATGCACCTGCAGGAGGAATACTTTGCAAAAACACATTTTTTTTAATCTACATGCCAAATGAGTTAAACCATGCATTGCAGCAAAATCAGCAATCGAGCTGTTTGCAGTGAGATGCGATCAGATAAGAAATAAATTAATTTCTCGCTATGTGCAAACAAATGACTGCGCTGCACACGCTGCAGACATTATCAGCCAAACTCTGAAAAGAGGAGCAAAATTATGAGTGCGCAACAACTTTTCAAGTAAACACAGCATGCAGAGTGCATGAATACTGGCTGATTATAAAATGCGTTGCAGTTAGAACATAAGGTGCAGATGCTAAAAGCAACTAAAGTGAACTAAAAGCATGTAGAAATTCGTGCATTGCGTCAATACTTTACTCACTAAGCATTTGAGTGTATCGTGCTTAAATAAGCATAAACATTAAATGATCTTCTGTTCATACGATAAGACGTGTGCAAGATTTCACATACACTGGCAAACGATCTTCTTTTCACTAAAGACACATACAAACTAAATACAAGACAAATAGCACAACACAGCAACATCTTAAAGAAGCGGGTGTCGAGAGCGTTTCAGGACCGCGGACAGCGACACAAGTTAAGCGGCTTTCAAGAGCGTTTCTTCGGAACCATCCATGCATGCAGACCTCCATCCAGCCTCGCACCGCACATCATCAGGTGGTTAAGCACCACTGACCAAACCAAGTTTGCAAACCATCCTCGATCACATGTGCATAAAAACAAACGGCAGCTTCTGTTACCTGTTACTGAGGTACTCTAGCGTGTCTAACAAGCGCTCTCCATCCGAGAGTCTCAAAGTCTTCCGCGGGAATGCTGGGATGCGGGAACGGGTCACAACGCGTCCAGACGTCCCGGGCTGGATGTCCAAGTCTCGGTGCACTTCACTTCCACAAGCGCAACGGCACAAAGCGACTCTGACCAAACTCCAGAGAGTTTACTACCAACCTCTTCTAATGCTGCTTCTGCTGCTTCTGTATTCCAGCGAAAGCGAGCGAGCGAATAACGGGCAAAGAACGAAATGCTTTTTCTCCTGGCGCGGTTGGTACTTGTACTCTCGGCTTCGGAGTCTTGCTGCTTGTGGTCTGAAGTGTTTGAGTCGGAGTGGCGTGTGGCCTCCTCGCGCTGCCTTATAAACCCCTCCACCCTGCGTGGATCGCGCGCACCGGTGAATGAGACAGCGCGCGGGGGAGTGTGTGTGTGTGTGTGTGTGTGTGTGCGCTCGCGCACTGGACACACAGAAAGACGAAGGAGAGCGCCGATGTGCGCACAGACGAGCGCAGAACCGGAAAGAGAGACTCCTATAAACCCCTCCACCCCGCGTGGATCGCGCGCACCGGTGAATGAGACAGCGCGCGGGGGAGTGTGTGTGTGTGTGTGTGTGTGTGTGTGCGCTCGCGCACTGGACACACAGAAAGACGAAGGAGAGCGCCGATGTGCGCACAGACGAGCGCAGAACCGGAAAGAGAGACTTCACGGCGCTTTCTCTCACTGACAGCGAGCGTTACATCATTACACCTGATTGCCCACACTACTCAATACGACTGATACACATTAAACGATCAACAATCAATCAAACGTGTCTAAACGACAACAACATTACGACACGATATGATCATTGGAGTATATTTGACTTTTTTGATCTTTCTAAATTCACGTTTAATTAAATGTGTTAATTACAGTTTCTTTATGTGTGAAATTTACTAACAAATTCTGAGTGAAAATAGTTTCTACAACACCACTTTGTGTTTGTGTGTGTGTGTGTGTGTGTGTGTGTGTGTGTGTGTGAGTGTGAGTGTGTGTGTGTCTGTGTGTGTGTGAGTGTGTGTTGGGAACTTTAAACCAGTGAACTTTGTTAAGTTTTGTTGACTGAAAATACAATTTCACGCTTAATTAAATGAGTAACTTGACATTTCTTTGTAATTATTTGTGAAATATACTACCAGTTTCTGGGTTACAATTATTTAAACCCCAATTTTCTCTCTAAAGTTAAACTAAAGTTTTTATAAAGCATCACGGTAACACTTTATAATAAGGTGTCATTTGTTAACATTAGATAATGTATTAACTAACATGAACAAACAACGAACAATACATTTATTACACTATTTATTAATCTTTGTTAGAGTTAGTTAATAAAAATACAGTTGTTCAGTGTTAGTTCATGTTAGTTCACAGTGCATTAACTAATGTTAACAAGTACAACCCGTGATTTTAATAATGCATTAGTAAATGCTGAAATTAACATGAAGTAAGATTAATAAATGCTGAAGTATTGTTCATTCTTAGTTCATGTTAACTAATGTAGTTAACTAATGTGAACTAATGAACCTTATTGTAAAGTGTTACCAGCATCACTTTTGGATGGTATTGTGATAATATTGTTTGTGTTTGTGTGTGTGTGTGTGTGTGTGTGCATATATATATATACAGTATATACTGGGAAGTATTGGGAAGTCTGTTTAATTTATTCAATGTTGTGTATTTTTGGTGTGCGTGTTGTTAGAACTCCAGTGAACTTTATCTGGTTAAGTGTATTTGTTTTTCTCCTCGTCATGCGTCTGTGGGCGTTCGCGCGTTTCCCGCCAGGAGAGCCTTGTGGAGGCGGGAGAGTCGGCGGATTCTTCCCAGAGCCACCAACGTGACCACATTACCACATCACCACAGCAAGTCATGCTGAAAACAGATCAAACTCCTGTGTTTTCTCAGCATCCAGCGCAATATTTACCCAAACCCCGCAAATATGCCGTGTGTCCGAATAAGTGCCTCCGCTGAGGGCCGAATTCCCTCGCAATCGCTCATGAGCTTCAGCCAAACTCTGAGAATACAGCAGAGCGGAGAGTGTGAGCGCATTACTCATCGGCGGAAGCAAAGGTAGGAAAACACTTATTCAGTCATGTATGATTCACTGACTCTCACTCACTCGGAGACAGGAAGATGAAGGCCTGTAACCTGCGTTCAGGAAAATACCTCCTCGAGATCTGCGGCACATGTTCACATCCAGCCAAACGCTCGCTCGCTCTCAGTGCATCAGGTGTAAGAGGAGATCTGAGCAGGACTGGTCTGTGAGTGTCCCCGCTCTGAAACACTGGGGTCAGAACGCAAACATGAAGCCTGGGCCTTCATCACACACTAGGCTGTGAGTAAGTGTGTGAGTCACAGTGAGGCTCTGCAGGCGTCACACTGCACTGCTGCCTCTAGAGGGCGCAGTGAAGCTCTTTGGCTTTCTGGAGTTTCTGGTGAAACACACACAGGTTTGGTTGGTTGGCATGATCATCATAACTACACCATCTGCCTCCACTGATGGCCATTCAGAAGCACAAAATACAGTTTTTCACAAGAAGCGTGTAAACGGTGCCTGTTCATGTGTGTAGCAGTCAAGGATCGGCCTTGGTGTCATGTAAAAGTGACTGTTCTGACTGATTATTGTAGTACTTTTTTCAAACAAAAAGAACTATTTAAGTTTTTCTACTTTAAAATCTCAGATTTAATTCCCATTTGTTTCAAAATTAGTCTCTGAACCATTTGTTTTCCCCCCAAATAGGAATCAATAAGAAAAGAAAAGGAAAAAAAGTCATATCAGGGTTTTCGAGTATACAAAATCCATAAACTAAATGTTAACTGAAATAAAATATAAAAACAAATATAAAAGTTAACAAGGCAACATTTCTCATTTTCATTTAGTTTGAATAACTAAATAGACTAAAACTAATGAATAAGAACTATATAGACATTTTAAAAACAAACAAAAAATAATAAAAATGACAACAAAAGTACCAATAATTAACTAAAATGAAAATGAAAATAGAAATAGAAATATACAAATCTAATTCAATATATGAACAAAAAATATAATTAGTTATGATACTAAAATATGTTTTAAATTATATTTTGATAAACTAAAGCTTTTTATTTGTAATTTAATAACAATTCAGTATCCCACAATTCACACTACTGTAAAGCAAAAAATATATTACAATTTTTAAAATAAATGTGAAGCATTTGCACATAACAGGATAATAGTATAATAACAGACATAATCAGTCTGTAGTCAGACTGGATGTATTACTGTCATGAGAAATGTGATGATTTGTCATGAAAATAATGTCACAATGCAAAAACCGTTTGTCCTAAAAACTTCATTTAGAAAAATTTAATTTTCTTCGTGAGAAACATGCATATATATTTTTTGATATGTAGGGAGAAAAAGGAGCCAGACCTCTTTATGAGATTCATCCAATTACCTGAGGATACAAAAGCTGCTGCCTGACAAACCGTGAGCTTGTTGTTCAGACTGAACTAGGGGGCCTTGAAATGGGTCAGACCTGACCGGACCGGAAATTACCACAAACACACACAATACAGCAGAGCTTATCTTTCAGACGAGGAGTTCACACACACACACACACA